CGGTCCTCATCGGCTCCACCCCCAAGGTCCGCAAATCGCTTGCCAAGAAGTTGCTGCAGTACGACATCCCTGTCACAGCGTGCGCCACGGCCGTGGACCTCGGAGTCGACGCGGCCGCGGCTACTCGTCGAGTACAAGCAAAAGCCAGGAAGCGACAGAGCTCAGCCGCAGCTAGGTTTCGCAAGATACACCGTCTACGGAGCACTGCACAGCAGGCTCGAATCTCAGCAGGACTGTGGCGTACTGGCGCTCTCCCCGAAGGGGTCTTCGGTCATCAGGTGCACGGCCTTGCTCGACACGCTCTACTACGATGGCGCCGTCAGGCCGCCATCGCGGCCACGGGGGCAGCAGCGGGCCGATGCCTCACCTCCCTCCTCGGCGCCACCTTCGACGGCATGGACCCAGGAGTTTCCCTAAGAATCGAGTTCATCGAGGCTTGGCTCCAGCACTGGATACGCCACCCGAGCACGCACGCCAGGATCATCAGAGCATGGCCAAGGATCAAGACCACCTTGCTAGCCGCAGGCCCCAAGCTGTGGTGCAGGGTCAAGGGGCCCACTGGCGCGGCCATCGCAACACTGCTGGAGGCCAGCTGGGAGCCGACCTCAGCCACCACGTGGAGGCGCACAAAGGACGGCTACATTGAGGAGTGGAACCTCCCCTCTGCCCACGACCCAGACCTCCCCGACGCCGACATCCACACAGTATTGCAGGACCTCAGCGAGGATTTGCACAGGCTCCTTTGGACTCAGGCCGCTACCCATGACCATGGCGACACGCTGGCTGGAGGAGCGGGCATGGTCACTATCCGCATCGAGCAAAGAAGGTTCCTCGCAAACGGTGATTTCAGCGACTGGGCCCTCAACAACACCGTCATCAGTGGAGGACAATGGACCAGGGACCGCCTCCACAACTCGGGCTACCAGGTCGACAGGAACTGCGACCGATGCAGCGCAGGAGTTCCTGAAACCCTGTTTCACCGTATGTGGCAGTGTGAGGCGAACGTGGGACCTGAGTTTGAGGCCAGTGACAAGCTACTACCGCGAGCCGTGGCGGGGGCCGAAGCTGACCCTGCCCTGTGGCTCCGTGGCATTCCCTCCGCCGCTCTCACTACGCCCGCGTTCGAGCCATTGACTGGGAGGGACGGGTGGGAGTTTGTTGGCGCGGTGCGGGATGGGTTGCCGTCGTGGGAAGGAGCTCGTAACGCTGAGGGCGGGTTGTTTCTTTTTGGCGACGGGTCTGGCGGCGCCTTTTTCCGACGACGTCAGACGAAGACGCGTTGGTTCTGGCCTCGCGGCCCTCCGATGGGACCCTCCCTCGGCCTCCTGGGCCCTCGATGCTGGCCTCCTCGCCCCCCTTCCCAGGCCCCCGCCAGACTGTCCCAAGAGGCGAATTGCATGCTTTTTGCCTGGCTCTCGAGACGTGCCAGCAGGATTTCACGTTTGTTACCGATCACCTAGCCCTACAGCGCGGCTGGCAGAATGGCAGATGTCTCCGACCTGGCAGCCTCAGAGGCAAGAATAAGAATGGGGATCTCTGGCTGAGAATTCGGCACCTCGTGCAGGATCGATCTGGCGGCTGCTCTTCGGTCTCGGTGCTCTGGGCCCCATCTCATGCCGATCCCCTCTCTTTGAATGGTTTCCAACAATTTATGGCTCTCGGCAACCAGCATGCCGATGAGCTCGCGGGAAGCGCGGCCCACAAGTCGGCCACCCTTGCCCTCCCGCCTGTCCCCAGGACTGATGAATATGACGCTATTGCGGCCATCGTCCGACAGAGGGCCCGACTGATCTTACGCTCCCTAGGCAAGAATTCAGAGCCTCGGGGACAGTGGCCAGAAAGGCAACCCACCCAGGCTGCAGCCCCTCGCTCTCAGTTGCAGACCGCGATCGCGGCTTCTCAGCACAAATTCGAGCGGTGTGCAGACAAATGGAGATGCCCTGCTTGCCTCATCATCGTTGACGCGTGCCACGTCATTCCAGCTGCCGCCACAGAGTGCGCGCCGCCTTGCCCCCTCCCCGAGTTCGCCGCGTGTGGAGAGGTGCTGTGGTCGAGGGGTCCTCGCGTGATCAGTGGCAAGTTGATCCACCCCTCCCACTTTTTGGCCACCATCCCCAAGTGGCAGTTGTTCTTTTGTGTGAAGTGCGGCCATACGGCCACGCACCAGGTTAAAAGCCTTCTTTTGCCGTGCCCTCTCTCCCACCAAGTGGGAGAGCGCAGGGCCCTGGGACCCACTGGCAAAGGCCTCGAGAACCTCAGCAGGATCAGGCGAGGCCTCCACCCGTCCAGAGCGGGTCCCAGCAAGGCAGTGCTTGAAGCTTTGCACGTTTCGGCAGCCGAAGCCGCGATCGGTTCCTTCGCGGCGGGTGCTGCCACCGAGTAAATTGCGAGGCCAGGGGGGCCTGTCGCGGTGGGCCGTGGGATGTCGCCCCCCACGGCCCTCCGAGAAATACTGGATGGCCCCCCTGGCATCCCTGGGTTCCGAACGGACTACGTCCGATTGCTCCACTCCACTCCTCCTCTCCTCCTCCTCTCCTCCTCCTCTCCTCCTCCTCCTCATCCTCCTCCCGCCGCCCTCCTCCTCCTCCTCCTCCTCCTCCTCCTCCCCCTCCTCCTCCGCCTCTCCCCTATTGTTCCTCGCCGTGCTCGTCCTTCGAGCACTATACAACACCGAACCCGAATAGTACGCTGAGGGCGTGGCCTCACTGAGGTCCCCGTCTTCACACTAGGGTTGCTAATTCTGGGCGGCTTTGGCCTGATTCATCTGCAGAGAAGACCCCTATTACCCCTCATGGTTTTCGCCTTCCTGACTCAGGTCCCCTTCCAAAGGGTTAGGGGTCCATTTTCGGTTAATCATCGTCCTCTTCGTTGTTCGTCCTCCTCCCCGCCGCCTTCCTTTCAGCTCCTCGTGCTTCTCGCCTTCGTCACGACCTCTCCTGCCTGGTGTGCAGCGATCGTCCCAGAGCACGTGACCTCGCTATGTGCTGTCGAGTGTTGTCGGAAGTTTCGCCTTAGTGGCCGCTTCTTGATCATCATCGTCCGCCGTCCGTTTTCTCATTATCCTCCTCCTCTTCCTCCTCCCCGCCATATTGTTCCCTAGCCATTTTGGCTCACGCCATTTTGGCTCAAGTTCGAAACGTGTGCCCCTGACGCTTCGAGCTTGGACAGTGCGGAGGGGGGGCCCAAGGCTTCCGCTGTTGTCGCACAGGGCGACATTTTACCGCCCGCTCGCTCGCGCTCAGTAGTCATACGGATCTCCCCCGTCGATCCCGGGATGGCATCCGCGAGTACCCTGGCCGCGCTCACACAAGCCATTCAGTCCCAGTCCGCCGAGATGCGCCAGGAGATGGGCACGATGCGCAACGCCACCGAGAGCTACACTTCCCGCGCCAGTGCGCTTGAGATGCAGTTGGGCCAGTTGCAATTGAACCAATCACAGTCTTACTCAGATAGTGTCCACAGTCCAATCGATGTCAATGGCATGGGAGCCCCGTGTAGCCGAGCTGCAGACCTCCGTGCAGCAGGAAACCCCCGCTCCGAGGGAGGACCTCGACGTCACCGCCCGCATCGCAAACACCATCGACTCGACGGTTGCGGACATCCAGAGGCAGATGAACACAATATCTCGGCCTCCGTGCTCGGTGGGTACCGCGGCCACCAGCGGCGCGCGCTCGACGAGACGCGGGATCGAGGGCCCGCCTGCCCCCACCACGACTCGAGATGACGAGCCTGACCATACGCGTGCTTGGATTGGGGGGGTCCCGCGGGCAGTGTTGGAAAGCCATCGTCGCTCTCCTTTCGCCAACCTGAAGTCGGCTTTGGCGAACACGCATCCTACTCTTCACCAAGACATCACCGCCAAGTTCCACAAAGTGTCCATGAGCTACAGCGTCCACTTCAGCACCGAGGACGCGTGCAAGCAGCTCCGTGAGTGGGTGCACGACAACATCCCCACGTGGCACGACCCGCGCAAGAAGGTGCAGGTCAACCGCCGCGCCAGGCCCGACATGCCGCTGGTCCACAAATTGCGCCAGCGCGCGCTTTCAAGCCTATGGCCCCACATCTTGTCCAAGCTACAGGGTCTTGGGAAATGGGTTCGAAGCAGCCACAAGCTTGGTGTCAACCGCGCTCGCGGAGAGTTCTCCATCATCGACAGCCAGGAGGACGACCATTGGGTGCTCTTCCACACGGTCGTGGAGAGCGAGACTCAGTTCAGCATCCAGCCGAACCTCGACAACCTCATGGAATGGGGCATCGACACCGCGGCCGCCAATGCCCTCATCAAAGTCGCCACCGACGTGACAGCCATGGGGCACATATGAGAAATTCCTGAGCCGCCTGCGAGTCTTGTCAGTTTTGTTTACGAGCCAGGTGATGTGGGGATCGAGCCCGGGGCTCCTTCACCCGGCGCTCTTTTTGGCCATCGGCAGCATCAACAAGTCTTCCATTCCTGTCAGCGCAAGCGCGCCATCCGCCCCCAGTCCGACCCCAGGCTGGCTGGTATGACTCCCTCCCCGTCTCCGGTTCCTGGATCCCCCGCTGGGCCCCCCTCCCCTTCTGGGCTGCATAGTGGCGCGGGCCTCCGTCTCACTACCTGGAACACTCAAGGTCCTTTTGGATCGATTCACGGGCATCGTGAGAGTCAAGCCGCCGCGCGAAGCCGTCTGTCATCTATGCGCGTTGCTCCAGGTATTGCTGCTCGCCAGGGAACGCATGGGCACGAAGGGGATCGCGCGACGCTCCAAGGGGACCTCCCTCATCATGGCATCTCCGGGTCGTTCGACGGGAGGGCGCATATCCGCGCTGGGGTCGTTCTGGCCATCCGCCCCACCATCCTTCACAAGATGCGAAATCTCCAACGCTCGGTAGTGCCCCCAGGGAGGATCCGCAGCATTCGGGCATCTGTGGGCGATGATGAGATCATGACCTTCAGCGTTCACATTGATCCCAAAACTTCGGGAGTAGAGCAGCAACGCATTCTAAGAGCACACCGCCAGAATATGTCGCCGCCAGCTCAGGTGCAGACGTTCGTGCTAGGCGATTTCAACTTCTCCTTGCCTGGCGATTGCATTCATGGCGCGGCGGGGGAAATTTGCCTGCCTGCGCCAGACGGCGACCCCTGCTCCTTCGAGGCGCTCTCCCCCGAAATTGTTGAGGTGATGCAGCCTCCCCCCACTCGTCGTCTTGCGTCTATTGTCAACGGTCAATCAGCAGTCAAAGCTTTTTCGAGAATGTATAGAATCTTCGCGAACTCATGCGCAGCCGACATGCTAGACTACCGCCCCCTCTGGAACATCGCGGGACGTTTGCGACCTGAGGGTCCCGAGCGACCACTGCCCTGTCTACTTCCCTCTTCGCGCAGTTGCCCCCGACGGGGAGGTCTCGGCGCCATCTTGGGCGACGAAGCGCATGCTCTACCCCGCTGCGCGTCATCATATCATAGCCGGCATCGATGTCTCGGAATACCTGCCCACAAACATTCAGGATATTAAAGAGCGCATGCATCTGGCAGTCTCTGGAGCCATGCGACAAACGCGGCGTTTCCCGCCCGAATCTGCATCGCAGTGCCTGTCCTGGCTGTTCACAGCGAGTCGGGCTATGCACGCTGGCAAGGCTGCCACCGCCAGGCCTGCATGTAAGGTCATCCCGAAGCTTGCCGACTTCACCGATCCGCACGCCGTTCAGTGGATCGACGGGCAGGGCTGCCGCGACAACATGGGGGAAGTGGCCGGGGGTTCGAGGAGGACAGGAGGGCAGTGATGGGCGAATTCTTTCCGCGGGGCCTCCGCGAGGCGAGATTGCAGAGGCTTCGACGCCAGGCGCAGACCTGGGCACCCCGCAATAGGCGGACGACCATTGCAGGCATACGTGCGCCAGACGGGTCTCAAATTCCCACCCTTGAAGCTGGCGTCGACGCTCTCCGCCGCCACTGGGCCCGCGTCGCGAAGCAGCCCCAACGTCTCCCCTGGCCGCCAAGGAGCTCGCCCCGTGCATTCCGAGTGTCGACCCCGCCGCGAGCTGGGACATGTCTTGGGGGAGGTTCGAGGCATTGGTTTCTCGTGTTCATGCTTGCGCCCCAGGCCCTGATGGGCGCTGCTATTCCGCTTGGAAATATGTTGGCACCTTCGTGATCCGCGCCCTCTACGACCTCCTCCAGCGCTCGCAGTCTGGAGCCCCGCTAGGCCCCAAGTTCAGCATAGGCACGACGGTCTTCGCGCCCAGAGACTCTCACGAGGAAGATTCCGTCAGCTTCCGGAGGGCTCCCCGACGAGCGCGCCCCGTCACCCTGAGCAGCGGCGACGCTAAGATGCTGGGGTCTGCCTAGAATCGCTCGTTGGCCGGCCAGTGTGAGCTGGGCGCCTCGCCCATCCAGCGGTTCCGCGCGGGCCCGGCAGATGGCCGCCGACATTTTTCAAGCTCGAGCGCAACGTGCTCAAATATGGAGTCCCACAGTGAATGGGGGAAACTGGATGCGTTCTCCTCGATGTTAGAGCTGCCTTTCCGAGCCTGCTCCACGCTTGGATTCTGTATGTTTTGAGGGCCACGGGTGTTCCCGAAACCGCGTTAGCTGCGATTTCCGCGCTGTGCATGGATATTCCGGCGGGGGTGATCCCGGGGGGCCGCAAATTCCAGGGCCCCCCCATCCGCCGTGGAGTTCGCCAAGGTTGCCCGATGTCAGGCAGTACTTTCGTGCTCTGCCTGGGCCCAGCGTTGCAGTAACTCGCGGGCCAGCTGCCTTCCCCGATGTCCGAGCTTGCCGCATTTGCTGATGACGTGGCGCTCTTCTCTCAGGACTTGCATGACCTTCTCTCTCCGTGCTCCTGCGGGTGCTGGTCAACAATGCCTCCGCCACGGGCCTCCTTCTCAACCTTAGTAAGTGTGCCATCATTTTCTATAGGGCGGTCGTGAAGGAGGAGGAGGAGGAGGTGAGGAGGTTCGCCGACCACGGGGCAAGGGCCCGAAGTGTCATGATCCAGAGCTGGGGGCGATACCTGGGCATTACTTTGGGAGACGATGGTTGGAACAATTCGCGGGTTGCCCCCGTTGGTGAATATCATGGCAGGTGCTGTTTCATCCGTTTCATTGAGGGTGGGTTGGGCCCTTCGACCGTCGCCTACAATTCGGTCGAGATTTCCGCATTGTTATGTGTTGGGTCGTTCTTCAGAATCAATGAGCTCACCGGCGATGCCGAGAGAGACGGGCTCCAGCGTCTGACCGCCTGCCCTCGCTATGCCATCCCAAATCCCATGTTGCAGCAGCTCGGCGACGTCTTGTCGTTGGGCAGCAGCGCGCGCGAGCTGGAGCGCGAGGCCCGCGCTGAGTGTTACCGCAACGCTGCGCGCTTTCCCAGGCTCTGGGACTGCAAGTAGGGAGTTGAGGAGGTCCTGGAGAGTGATGAGGTGATTCTCGGGTGGAGGGTCAACAATTTCTATCGCCGCTCGCCCCTCGCGCACACTTATTTCTGAATGCGTTTTTTTTTATCTGGTCGCTGCCCCCCACGGTCCGTGACCGACCTTGGGGGAGGGGGTTCTCGAGTGCCCCAAGATTCAAAGGGAAATGGAAAGGGTGCCTGGAGCTGTTTCCGCTGCCCTCTTTGCAGGAAACCTTTGGTCGCAGGCTGCGATGCTGGTGGCCACGCCTGACCGAGGACAAGGTCGTTTTCTCCCTCCTCCGCCTGAGGATAATTGGCGCCAAGCTTCCGTGCTTCATGAGGGTCCATATGTCGAGAATGCATGTGCAATGCAGTGAACACGTCGCGTCGTAGCGAATGTTTTTTTATGCAGATCCGGATGTGCTGGTGAGGGCGATATCCCACTTTGATATGTATGTACCCATACCGTTCCCGTTATGAGGCGCCTCGTTCCCCTTCTTCCTGCCTGGTGGGGTTACCTTGGTCCTCGAGCCTGCTTCAATATCTGTTCTCTCCCTTTCGAGAATGCCGATGATATTTTCGCCTCTGTTGCTGCTGCCGATCTTTTTGTTTCAAGTCTAAACAGCCTTCGTGCTCGCCAGGTGCAGTCCCAGCCGTTGGGGGTAAAGTTCCTCGAGGGTCGGCTCCGACTGCGCGCGAAGCGCAGTGCCACTGTAAGGGCGCTAGCGCAATGAGGGTGCGTCCAGCGGAAGACATCGGTGCGCCTCAGGGGCTGGGTCTCCTCCTCGTCATTCTCCTCGCCGTGCGCCCTATATCATTGCTCTCGAGCTCCTCGCATTCATCATGCTCGGTGTCCTCATCCCCCCATCCACAAGTCCCCGCCCCCACCTGGTCCCCCTCTTCTGGCTTTCCCAAATCTCCCGCGCAACCCCTCCCCTCCTCCTCCCATTTCTGTGTTCCTCCTTCTTTTGGCGGCCCAGAGCGGCTGGCAACAAACTTAATAACGAAGCTCGACGTGCGGACTGGACGCCCACCGAAGTGTGGGGAAATCGCTGCTCTTGCCCATGGCGGCGCCCACATGAGGTGCCGCCAGGGCCCTCGCGTGCGCGGAGGAGAAAGAAAGAGTTTGTGTCGCTTGCGCGCGGAGGAGAAACACCAGTACAAGTTGGAGAGAGGGAGGACAAGGAGGACGAGGCCGAGCAGCGTCGTGAGGAAATACGAGGAGGAGCAGGATAAATAGGACCGGCATGAGGGGAACCACGGATGCTCCTATCGCCCAACGCCCTGCCTCAGCCCTGAGGGTGCTGCCCCCCCCCCACCCACACACACACACGGATAGCGAAACGTTTGGTGGTGTGTGCGCGTGTTTCCGGGACCCTCAGTACCAGAACGTCCCATCCGAGGCGCGAAGTGGAGGCTTGCTCGAGGTGGCGGCGTGCGCGAGATGTTGTCCACGGGTCGCGTCTTCGATAAATGTTGGGAAGCCCCACCAGGTGCCTTTCGTGTCGACCCCAGCGGGGGGGGGGGGCTCCGTCTCAGAGCTCATCCTGAGAGCGGCCCATCTGAGGCCTTACGCGCGGGGCCCCCTTGGATGCTCAGCTGGATGCTCACAGTTCCTTGTTCAGGGGCTGGTTGGGGCGACGTTCCTCCAAACCCTCTTCCGCCCTACCCCACTTTCGCGTTGCTCCGGTTCTGGGCGGCGAAGGCCGTGAAGTGTTGGTTACCAGCCTCGAACGTATCCCTATCCCTAAGATTCACACGCCCAAAGGCGATGGACAATCCTAGGGATCCGCCCTCAAAAAATAAGGGAATCCCTAAGATTGGCATCGTGATGAGGAGGTGCCCAGCATAGGCATAGGGAAATGCTCCAGGCTGGCAAGTTGGGTCTTCTGGGCAGCGGCCCCGGCACGTGGACGCCCCGTGGTGCAGGTGCTTGCCAGGCGGCGGGCTGCGCGAGCGGCGGGCGGCGGGGCTCCCTGCGCGCAGTCCTGGCTTGCGATGCGCAAGTTAGCATGCCCGGGCCGGACGAAAGGGGGGGATTGGGAAAGGGGGGGGTACGAAATTTGCTGCATGCAGCCGGTTTCGGCCTCACCGAGGGGCCCATTCCTCGATGCATAGCCGCCTCCGGCGCCGGGAAAGTCAGCTGCGTGAGCTGATTCTCAAACCCCCCCTTTGCTATCCCCCCCTTTCGCCCGACCCGACATGCGAGGGCCCAGCCTCTGGCCTCAGGTGAAGATTCTGTTATGGGTGTTCGAGGGAAACGTTCGCGAGCGTAGGCGATTGAGTGTAGCCCCCGTATGTGGACGCCTACCTCGTGCCTTGTGTGCGGGTCCCTGGAGCGAGTTGTTCTGTCAATGCATTCGTATCAGCTGTTTGGTTACGTACGTACCGTTATCGGAAGCCGTTCTCATCACACTCGACCTCACCATCGTCATTTGCATAATTCCCTCTGTGCTCTTCATAGCCATCACTATTGATTGCTCGTAGATCATCCTGAGGATATTGCTGCTACCAGGATGCTAGCAAGTTCGCCGCTGCTGCTTTTGCTACAGTCGTCAGTTTTGTTACTGCCGGTGCAGTTTCTCAACATCCCATTGACGACCTCAGCCGTTTGGGCTCAGGAGTTGCAAGGCGAGTTGTTCCGAGTCGTGAAACAGTTTTACAACGCCCACAGATGCAACGCCGGAAGCCGCGCTCGTCTGCTCTGCCTCCTCACGCACCCAAGCTTATCAATGCGTGCATGTGCTCGTTGGTGCATGTTAGTCTGGCTGTACTCGCAATTGCACGCGTATCTTTATCTTCCGCCTGGGTTGCTTGGCACCGTGGCGCAGCGCAGCCTGCCTGCGGTGGCCTCTCGCTCTCGCCGCGGCGGGAGCGACCAGTGGCCAGAAAGTCGGTGGGGCGCGAGGGGCTGCAGCTCGCACGCCAGTGGCGAGCGGACCGACGCGAGCGCCTGAGGAGGAACCTGGACTGGTCCAGGTATCACCTGCAGGTCTGCTTCGTCGATGCCTGCGAGCCCTCGTTCGCCGAGGCGCGCCTCAGCACCTTCTTCTTCAAGCGCGCCTGCAGGGCGCGGGGCGACCAGCACGTGCTGTGCTGCGATGCCGGCGGCCTGTGCCCGGCTCTCGGGGCGAGGGACGCGGGCGCCGCCCGCGCGATCTGCCAGGTGCCCGGAGTCAGCGACGAGGAGCTCGGCCTCCTCGCCGAGCCGCTTGAGCAATTCGAGCTGCGCCACATGGAGGGGAACGAAGGATGCTACAGACACAAGAACTCGGAGGTCCGCGCGGATTTCCCGGATCGGCGCTGGACCCCCATCCCTGGCGCGCGGAGCGCGCCAGGGGCGGCGCCGGAGGCTCCGCCAGGGGGGTCCAGCGCTGATCCGCGAAATCCGCGCGGACCTCCGAGTCTTTATAGGTCTGTGTCATGCTTCGTTCCCCGACACGTGGACCTGTACGACGTGGTGGTGGCGGCGAACGAGGAGAGCTACGAGGCGCTGAGCGCGCGCCTGCACGGCCGCGGCGCCAGCAGCGAGCACCTGTGCGCGCTCGGCGACTTCCTGGACGCCCACGACGCCCTGCAGGCCCAGGAGGCCGCCGAGGGCCTCCCCGTGGCCTCCCCCGGCCGCATGGCCCCCGGCTTCGCCACGCGGGAGGCCATCGAGGCGCTCCGGGAGGGCAGGCTCGAGCCCGGGCCCCTCCGCGGCGCGCCCCCGCGGCGGCCGGTGGGCGAGCTGCTGGGCGGGCTGCCGCGGGAGTGGCAGCCGCTGCTGGACGCCGCCTCGGACCTCGGCGTCGCGGAGGGCCTGCTCGAGGGCGGGCGGGGCGCGGACGCGCGGCGGACGATGGGCTCGGTGCTCCGCTCCGCCGTGGGCCTGCACCGGTGGCTGATGGCGAGCATCCCCGCGGACATGAAGTGGTGGAACGACGAGGAGTGAGGCCTCGCTGTTCCCGCGTCGCCCCTCGCTCCCAATTCTCCCTCCCTCCCTCCCCCCCTCCCTCCCTCCCCCCCTCCTCTTCCTCCTCCTCCTCCGTCTTGGCGCTGCAGCATCAGCATGACATGTTTTCCGCATCGCCTCCCTGGGCCCACCGCGGCGCAAGTTTCACCCGCCTCTCGGTGTGGGGCCAGCCGCGCCGCTGTGGCATGCCGCTCCCCCCTTGGATGGAGCCAGCCTTTCTGGGCTGAGCGGAGCGCAAGTCGAGTCGAGCGAGCCTTCCCCACGTTTTCAAAGGAGTGGCCCCCCTGCTGTTCACTGGCATGAGTCTCCCGAATGAGTCATCTTCCGCGTCGCCATCTGGCCAACCTCTTTGCCCCTTGGCGGCCTTTGAGCCTCATCCGCGTCCCATGGATTGCTTGGCGTGGGGCCTTGTTCCTGCGTCGGCCTCGATGTTGTATCTGGGAATTCTCTGCCGCGTACTCGATTCGGCCTCGACTTCTTCGGCGCGTTGTCAGGCGTAACCTTCGAGCCAGCTTCGACAGGCAGGTCGGCACAACGAGGGGTGAGCCGGAGATGGAGAACGACGATGACTCTAGCCACAACGTTGGGGATGACGGAGGCCGCGGAATGGGAGGACGGAGCCATGACACCGGCATTCCTGCAATCAGGACACCGCTTGGCGAGTGGGTCCGCGACGCAGAACACTTAAGACAGCAGTGCTACACCAATGCGAGGGTCGACTGGAGATGGGTCGACGTGTTATAACTCTTTCCCGACGGGAGGAGAAGGAGGGAGAATGCGGGGCAGGGGAGGAGGAGGGGTCACCACGCCCCCCTGCAAAGTTATGCACAGTTACCTAAATTTCGTTTCGCTCGAGTATTTCGTATATGTCCCCCACGTCCTCCACGACCCACGACGCTAGACGCTAGACCTCCGACACATAGTTGTTCCCAACCTTCTTGTGTTGCTGGGTCCTCGTTTTCTCTCTGCAGCGCCGCGCGGACCACCTCACCTACCCCTCGCCGTCCTCATCACCTCCTCCCCGTCCCCCTTCTCCACAGGTTCGGCACATTACTCATGCGGACCGTGCCACATAAGGAGCCTCACCCACGGCCATACTGGGAACATCACCAATGCCATTCCCCCGCCCATGTCGGCACACCACTCACACGGATCGAACCGCACAGGGAGCTCTACCTATGGCCCCAGTGGGCAAGTTCGCATAGGGTCCCCTCGCCGCACAGGGGGCTCCCCTGCCTTGTAAGCAAGTTCGTACAGCGTCTTCCCGCCCATTTCGGGGCACCCTTCACACGGGTCGTGCCCCACAGGGAGTTTCATTTGCGTCCCTAGTGGGCAAGTTCGCATAACGTCCCCGCACCAATTCGGCACACCACTCACACAGGTCGTGCCGCACAGGGAGCTCGAGCTACACCTCCGACCCCAGTGGGTAAATTGGCATAGCGTCCCCCGCCCATGTCGGCACACCACCCGCACGGATTATGCCCGACAGGGAGTTCCACTTGTGACCCCAGTTGCAATTTTGTCTAGCGTCACCCTGTCCATGTTGCCCCTCCCGCACAAGAATCGCGTCCACACAGATGTCCACACACGGCCCAGCGCACAGTGCCCCGCCGCCCCTGTCGACATGCTCCTCACATCGATCGTGAAGCACTGGGAGCTCTGCTTGACACCCCCATGGGCACGTTTGCATAGCCCCCCCCCCTGTCCACTTCAGACACCACTCACACGGATTGTGCCGCACGGGGAGTTCCACCTGCTGCCCCAATGTCGCAGGCCTAGAGGTTGACACCAACACCAAGGTCGGCGGTGTTCCTCCACCGAGGGAAGACGATCCCAATCTCGGTGATGGTGGTAATATTCCGGCTTCCAAGGTGGCCGAAATATTACCACCAACACCGAAATCTAGGATCACCTCCCCCCTGTGGAGGCAGCCCTCTGTCTTGGTGTTGGTACCCATTTCCAGGCCTCCCACAATGGGCAAGTTCGCATAGCGCCCCGCCCCTCCCGTGTTGGAACAGCCTCGCACGGATTGTGAACGACAGGGGGCTCCACCTGCGACCCCAGGTGGGCAAGTCCGCATGACGTTTCCCCGCTCACGTCGAGGCACACGGAGAAGAGGGAGGAGGAGGAGGAGGAGGAGGAGGAGGAGGAGGAGGAGGAGGAGGAGGAGGAGGAGGAGGAGGAGAGGGGAGGAGGGAGGAGGAGGAGGAGGAGGAGGAGGAGGAGGAGGAGGAGGAGGGGAAGGGAAAGGAGGAGGAGACATGGATCGAACCGCACGGGAAGCTCCACTTGCGACCCCGTGGGCAAGCTCGCAACTCGTCCCCTCGCCCATTTCGGAACACCCCCGCACGGACCGCGCCGAACAAGGACCTCTCTTTGCGATCCAGGTGGGCAAGTTCGTATCGCGTCCCCCCGTCCATTTGGACACCGATTGCACGGATCGTGCCGCACACGGAGTTCCACCCTCCACCTACGGCCCCAGCGGGCAAGTTCGCATGGCGTCCGCCCGCCCATTGCATGTCAGCTCATCCGGCACACGGACCGCGACCCCGCCAGGTGTTCAGCACGCAGTTTCGCGCTTTCTCCGCAGCCCGTTTCAAGCACTGTCCCGCGGCGCACAGTGTGCGAAACTAGGGCCACGCCTTGAGCTGCGCACAACCTCATTCGGTCTGGGCCCTTCGCCAGGCGATGCTTGTCACGACGTTGGCCCCCAGAGCTCTCGACACCATCCCCCCAAGAGCGCTTTCGCCGTCTTGAGCACGTCCCACTGGGCCCCAGGTCCCGCAAGCGGCCCCCGGACGCCGAGCTGGCCAAGAGCGCCTGCTGGGAACCCTCCTCGACCGCCCGAAGGTCCGGCTCCTCGCCCCCCTTATCGGGTCGGACGACCAGGGGGGCACGGGGGGAAGGAGGTCGCGGGGGGGGGGGGGGCAGGCCGTCACCGAACGGTGGCATGAGCGTGAAGTTGTGCTCAGCAGCAGGGGGGCGAGGGCGAGGGGGGGTGGCACGGACACTGCTGCACGGAGCCGGTGTCGGCACCGCGGGCCCTTTCCTCGATGCGCTGGCGCCCCCCGGCGCCGGGAGTGGCGCTGGGAACGCCGACCGCGGCAGCGGATCCGCTGGCGCCGGTTTAGCGTCGATTCGCGTCGATTTAGCGTCGATTAGCGTCGATTCGCAAGAGCCGACAAGGTGGTATGGGAGGCTCCTATGAGTTGCCACCGAAGCCATCCTCACCCTTGCCTCCTCCTTCTCAACCTGGAGCTCCCCATCTCCCCTGTCCTCGTCCTCATCTTCGCCTGCAACACACACACACACACACACACACCACACAGCACGCGGCCGCTCTGCGGTTGATCGGGAGTTTCTGCACAGATAGAGATGAGGATGTGTTTCTTCCGTGACGCCGTCGACACCTCCTTTGCGGCCGGTGTTGCGGGAATGTCCCGGGCGAGGGCGCTGGTCAGATTCGCCAGATTTGCCAGAGGTGGTGCGGAAAGCGCGGTTGTTGGCCTCGCTCCTTCGCGGGCCAGGGGTCAGAAAGACTTGAGTTCATAAGACACTCCCTCACATTATCCTTGTCTTTCTCCTCTCCTTCTTATCACCGTTCTTCTCGGCGTCTCCTCGTTTACCTCCGCATCCATACACTCCTCTCCTTCTCTTCTCAAGGTCCTCCTCTCCCTCCTCTCATCCTCCTGGCCTACGACCCTCATTCCTCATCCGCCTCCTCTTCCTCCTCCTCCTATTCCTCCACGTCCGCCTTCCTCCCCCCCCATCTCATTCTCTCATCCGGCCCTCATCATCCTCTCCTCTTCCCCCCCCCCCTCGAGTCTGCCGACGCCGATGCTCTACCCCCCTCACCCTGGAGGAGGAGGAGGAGGACGACGACGAGCACCACCAGAGCCACCACGTCGATGACCGCGATCACGGCAACGACGGCGCCCCCGACGACGACGCTGCCTCCGGCGCCGACGCCGAAGCCGACGCCGACGCCGCCGACGCCGCGGCCGCCGGCTCCGCCGAACGCGACGACGCCGACGTCGACGACGCCGCCGACGACGGCGACGCCGTGGCCGCCGATGACGGCGGCGGGCTGCCGGCGGCGGTCCCGCAGCGGAGGCCGTCGGCGTCCATGCCGGCCAGCGCCGGCTGCAGTACGGCAGCGGGGGCGGCTGGGCCGACCAGTTGCTCGGAGGGATCGGCGACAGGCTCCATCAGCATCTCCAGCAGCATCTCCAAGGCGAGCTCCGCTCAGAGCCCCGAATCATCAGGGGTAATTCGGGTCAGGGTTAACTCGGGTTCGTTTTTCGGGAGTCCGAACCCGACTTACCCCGGACCCGAGTTACCCCGGATAATTCGGGCGTCCAGAGCCCCACATCATCAGGGGTAACTCGGGTCAGGGCTAACTCGGATTCCTTTTTCGGGAATCCAAACCCGAGTTACCCCGGACCCGAGTTACCCCGGATAACTTGGGCGCCCAATCCGCGCTGGAAGGGGAGACGGGGGAGTGACGAGGAGGAGGGAGCCTACAGGACAGCGTTGCCCAGTGGCCTTCGGCCCACCCCGCCACCGTGCCTGGGCAGTGGGTCAGAGGCCTTGTGGGTACAGGTGAGGGTATCGAAGACGCATGCGGCGAATCACGGCCGCCCTGTGCCTTTTAGAGGCGCCCATGTGTCCGAACGTCGGGTCGGGGTCGTGACAAGCTCGATGACTACGTGTCTTCTAGCCGTTGCGAGACCCCTTTGGGGAACTCTTGTCGGAAGAAGAGAAAGGAGAAGGGATGCAGAGAGGAGGAGGAGGAGGAGGAGGAGGAGGAGGAGGAGGAGGAGGAGGCGGAGATAAAGGAGGCCTCTTGGGGCTTCCTGGGGCCTGTTGGGAACTTCCTAGGGTATTCATGGGGGCCTCTTGGTCTTAGGGGCCCCTCTGGGCCGTCGTGAGGCCCCCGTCTTTGGGCACTTTATGTCTGCCTTGGGGGTCTGTGGGACCGTCTTGGGGCCCTCTTGGCGCCATCTGGAGGCCCTATTGGGGCCTTGGGCTGTCTGGAGAGGCCTCTGTGGCCGTCTTCGGATGTCGGATGCCCAGAATGGATGAGTTTGGCCTCGTGAAGGTCCAGGGCGTCTTGGGGGCCTCTTGCGCCGTCTAGAGGGCATTTTTGGATGTCCGAAAGGCATCTTGGGCCGTCTTGGAAGTCACCGTGTTTCCTAGGGCCATATTGGCTGCCGTTCAGCCGTTTGGGAACCATCTTGGAGGCCTTTTTGTGTCACCGTGGGCATATCTTGGAGGCATCTTGGGGAGATCTTGGGCGGTACGGACTATCACTTGTTCAGTATGGCCGGTGGGTCAAGTCGAATACCACTGGGAACTTTTTGGAAGGGTTCAGAACAGCAAACGTCCAGCACGCCATGCACCGCTACATGACAAGCGACAAGCACACTAGGTGGCGGATCGAAGACGCCTACGGCGAATCACCGCCGCCTCTTGCCTTTAGAAGCGCCCATGTGGCTAATCGTTGGGCCAACGTCTGACCAAGCTATTGGAATTCGTGTTCCCCCAGCCGTTGTGGACGCACTTTGGGGACCATCTGTGAGAGAAAGAGAAACGATAATGAAAGGGAGGAGAACGAGGACAGATGAGGAGGAAGAGGAGGAGGAGGAGGATGAGGAGGATGAGGAGGAGAAGGAGGAGGAGGCGAAGGAGGAGGAGGAACAGGAGGCCATCTTGTGTCGTCCTGGGGGCCTCCTGGCTGGAAGCCTCCTTGGGGCCTCTGGGAGGGCTCTTGGGGGCTTCCTGGTGCATCTTGTGGGCCTTTGAGGGGCCTCTTGGCCTTCGGAGGCCTCATTCGGGGCATGTCTGGCAAGTCGTGGGTCCCTCTTTGGGCGCTCGGTGGCCGTCTTGAACACATATGGAGCCGTCTTGCGGGCCTCTTGAGGGCCTCTTGGGCCGTCCTGGGGCGATCTGCGGGGCCTATTGGGCCGTCCTGGAGCGGCGAAACACCGAGAATGCGAGGACGCCAATATGATTGAGACGCCTCAGGGAAGTCGATCATTTTGGCTTCCTGAAGATCCACTTGGAGACCTCTTGGGGCGTTTTGGGGGCCTCGTGGGCCGTCTTGAGGCTATCTTGGCCCGTTTGGGGCGCATCTTAGGCTGGGGCCATCTTGGGCACTCTTGAGGTCATCTTAGCCGCCTTGGAGGCCGCCTTGGAGGCCTTGGAGGTCACCTTAGCCGCGTTGGAGGCACCCTGAGCGAAACATCTCTTGCCTGGTGCCTCGCCGAGGGCTCTCCGTGCGGCCGGCGGGCTGGGCCGGGGGCAGGTGGGAACCCGTATACAGCATGTGTGAAACGGTAGAACACTGAGCACGCCAGGCCCCCTTTTTTCCCCAATCAGTGCTTGCACTGAAAGGGTCCTAGCGGAAGTCGAAAGATTTGGCGAAAGTTCCCGCCGATTTTGGTAGCGGGCTGGGTTCCCGGGCTCCCGGTTCCGGGTTCCCGGGTTCCCGGGTTCCCGGTGATTGGTTAACCGGGCCGACTTCGGTGGGTTTTGGGTTCCCAGGTTCCCAGGTTCCCGGTCGCTCTCGTCGGCAAATCCACTGATTGGGGTTTTCGTCTGGTGCGATTGACAAATCAGAAAGGGGTGCCCCCCACCATGCCTGGCTTGTCAGCCCGCCGCTCGCCCTCCGGGCGGGGCACCGATCGGGCGCCCCGGCCTGCCGCGCCCGGGCTCCGACGACCGGCCCCGTGGGCGGGGGATCCCGGAGGTGCCGCGGCGGCCTCCATGGAGCCGGGCCCGCGGGGGCGTGCCCACGGGCAGCGCGCACGAGTCGGGGGCGGACAGAGAGGGGGAGGAGCACTCGTGGCCCAGAAGACTCGGGCCGGACGAAAGGGGTGGATAATTAGGGAATCGGGATCAAGAGACGGGGGTCGATGCAAACGGGGGGTCAGCCAGGGCACCAGATCCTGCAGGATCCTGCGAAGACCCCCTCTGGCTGACCCGGGTTAGCAAGCCGCTCGTGGCCGCGAGGCGGCCGCGCATATTGGCTGACCCGGGTTGAGAAGACCTGCGTTGCAGTTATTTTTCCTGCATTTCAGTTTTTGGTTTCCTGCTGACCCTGGTCTGGATTGACCCCGGTCAGACGATCCCGGAGGGAAAGGGGGGGTTACGAAATCTGCTGCATGCAGCTGGTTTCGGCCTCACCGAGGGGCCCGTTCCTCGATATACATGGCCGCCTCCGGCGCCGGGAGGCGCCAGGAAAGTCAGCCACGTGAGCTGATTCTCCCCCCCCCTTTTGCTATCCCCCCCTTTCGCCCGGCCCGGAAGACGTTCGCGTGTTTGGTTGACGCCACGTTTGGCGAGGAGGGGAATAAAAAACTCGTGGCACCGGAGAGGCCCGCTGTTCCCGAAGTGCTCGTCGCTGGAGGCTCTGCAGAGAGGCGGCCGCGGCCCAGGCAGATGGGGAGGAGCGGGCCGCGGGGGCTCGAGGGTGGGTGGCCCAGAAGCCGCCCGCGCGTTTGGCTGGCGGCACGCTGGGCGAGGCCTGCGGTCCGCTCCCACCTCCTGCCCCTCCCAGAAGATTGCCAGCCTGGAGCGTATCCCTGTCCCTATGCTGGGCACCTCCTCATCACGATGCCAACCTTAGGGATTCCCTTCTTTTTTGAGGGCGAGTCCCTAAGATTGTCATACACGCCTTTTGGCGTGTCGATCTCAGGGAGAGGGATACGTTCGAGGCTGGTAAGAAGAGCACTCGTGGCACGGAATGGGGCTCCCTGGTCCCGCCGTGCTCGTCGCCGGAGGCCCTGCGGAGAGGAACGGCCTCGGCCCAGGCAGACGAGGCGGAGCGGGCCGCCGCCGCGGCGGGCCCGAGGCGCTCCGCGCGCGGTGCTCGAGCGGCGCCTGCTGGGGCCGATGTGCGGCCGCGGCAGGCGACCCGCGTCGGGGGGCTCGAAGGTGGCGCCCCGAGGGGTGGGGGCGCCTGGGCTTGGCATCGCTCGGACGTGTGCATTTTTCTGTCGGCGAGGGCCATCGAGGAGCATCTTGGACCATCGAGCCAAAAACACACGCACGAAACCGGAAAATGCACGGGAAATGGACGTCCGAGCGATGGCGAGGGGTGTGTGGCCGGACCGAGGTGTGGCACCGGGGTCGGCGCGGGGTGGGCACCCGTGGCCTTAAGTCGGGCCTGTCCCCCTACAGGGGCATTTTGGACGAAACATAAAAAAACAGAAATAGTCAGAAATCGTCCAAAAATAGCCTGGGGACTATTTGTTTGAGTATTTTTCAATGTTTTTGTTGGCAATTGGGGGGTATTTTCAATTTTTCGTCGAAAATCCCCCTGTAGGAGGACACGCCCGACATAACCGTAGCCTTGGCTGTTCTTCGTGCTGGTTGGACGTCCTCGTGCATCCTGGAGAGCGCGCGCTCGCCGCAGCTTACTGCTGCGTGAGCGTGCCCCCCCGCGCTCGCCTCCCCCCCCCTCCGCGGCTGCCTTCCGTGCCCCTCTTGCATGCGGGCCGCTTCGTGCCGCCTTGCAGCGGCCTCGCCCCGGCGCGCGTGCGGGCCGCCTCGCCGGGCTGCGGCATAAAAAGCGCACCCTGGGGGGGGGGTACCCTAAAACGACGCGAAGATCGGGACAAAATCGGATCGGGATAATTCGAAATCTCTGAGAACCGGCGGGTCTGGAGGATGTATTGGGCGCCGCGGCCGCTCCAGAGCGTTCCGGAACGCTCTGAGAGCGCTCCGGAACGCTCTGGAGCGATTTATCCCGATCCTGGCCCTGTTTTAGGCCTCGCCCCGACGCGCGTGCAGATCGCCTCTGCCGAACTGCGACATACAAAAAGCGCATCCTGGGGGGGAGGGTACCCTTTGATGTTCCGTGTGTTTTGGCTGGCGGGGGGTCTCATGATTTTGGAGGATGTGCTTCTGTCCTATAGGTCCGCCTGCAGGCAAGACCTTCCGGTTGGATGCGCACAGTCCAGGCCTCCGCCCTCAGGGCCCCAGGTCTCAGGGCCCAATGCCGACCGACTCTTCTCGCAGGCGGTTTCGCGCCCCCAATCCCCGCGTTCCCCCGAACAGTCGGGCAGGTCAGGAAAGGGAGGCTCGGGAACGGGATGCGTCGCTGGAGGGGTGATCGGACGTGCCCACATCGAGGATGAACGCCCCCCTCCCCGTCCTGTATCCCCAAGTTGGGCCCCACTTTGTGGTACAGGGTACAGCTGGAAGCCCCACAATGGCGTCGATTGGGGTCGCCGCGCCCCTGGCTAGGTTCGTGGGATGAACCACGTGGCCCTGGCCCCGTGCGTGTCCCCGGCGGCTCGCGCCATTTGGAGGCCTCTCGGGACCGTTTGGGCTTCCTTGGGGATGCCGCGGAGGCCGTGCGTGGCCCCCCATGGGGCATCTCAGTACTGCAAGAAGCGCCCAGGCCAGGGACGCCGTTGGCAACACCCGAGCTCCGGCCAGGCCAGCCTGTCTGGGGACACGACCCCCGCGCCATGATCGCGGCCCTGCAGACCTCCTCGCGTGGCGAAGAATCGCCACGGGACGTGTGTGTCGCTATCTTCGGCCTCTGGGAGCCCTCGCCGGGCCTCGGGACCGTCAACAGAAACGATTCAGGACGAAAAACCTGTCCTGGGGATCCTTCGAAGGGGTCCAGACCTTTTGGGGGTTGACGTTGAGAAAAAAACAAGACGCTCGGGGGTCTTTGGCTCGCGCCTCGCGGCCCGGGCCAGAGAGGGTTGCAGTGGGGGCCGCGCGAGGGCGCGAGGCCATCGGCTGTTCGCTCCGCGCGGTGCGCGGCGCGGAGCTGGGCGGCTCGGGCCCGAAGCGGCGCGAGGGTGCCTCCCGGATCGCTTCCTCGCCGCGCCCGGAGCCTGCCGTCCAGGGCGCTTCCTCGGGGGCCCGTCCTGGGGTGCCTCTCCCGACGCCCGCTTCCTCCCGAGGACGTGTCCCCCGACGCCCGCCGGGCTGCCCCCGCCTGCCGCCCCCGCAGGGAGCCTGCTGGGCAACCTCCTGGGCGGCGGAGGGCTGGACCCCTACGGGCAGCAGCAGGCCCCGTACGGGCAGCAGCAGGCCCCGTACGGGCAGCAGCAGGACCCCTACGGGCAGCAGCAGGCCCCGTACGGGCAGCAGCAGGGCCCGTACGGGCAGCAGCAGGCCCCGTACGGGCAGCAGCAGCAGGCCCCGTCGGCGACGCGTGGGGGGAGAGAGAGAGAGCAAACAAAAAGAGATAACCAAACAAAATCACATAGACACATAGCTAGTGATATCTATAAATATGTGCAACAGAGAAACACAAGCACAAGCAACATCACGCACGCACGCACGCACGCACGCACGCACGCACGCACGCACGCACGCACGCACGCACGCACGCACGCACGCACGCACGCACGCACACACGCACACACACACACACACACACCACACACACACACACACACAACACACACACACACGCCCACGCCCACGCCCACGCCCACGCCCACGCCCACGCCCACGCCCACGCCCACGCCCACCCACGCCCACGCCCACCCCACGCCCACGCCCACGCCCACGCCACGCCCACGCCCACGCCCACGCCCACGCCCACGCCCACGCCCACGCCCACTCCCACGCCCACGCCCACGCCCACGCCCACGCCCACGCCCACGCCCACGCCCACGCCCACGCCCACGCCCACGCCCACGCACACGCACACGCACACGCACACGCACACGCACACACACACACACACACACCGAAGGAGGATATTCCTCCCTTATGAACGTGTCGCGTCATTGTGTCCCCTCCTTAGGGATTAGAGGATGGCCCCACCCATTGACGTCGCAGGGGCCGTGCATCCCCTGAGCGGCCCCACACGGGCTCTAACACGGCCAACATGGCCTTCAAGATGTGTCGCAGCCTTCTGCGATGGTGCCAATATCCCGCCAGGATGCCCTCCTACTCCTCAACCGCCGCCACCGCCACGCCGGCAAATAGCCACACTTTGATCGTGCTAGACTCTGCTCGTCGGCCTGAGCTCCGACAGACGCCGAACCACCAGCATGACGTGGAGCAACGCGCCGGGTGGCACCATCACGGTGCTGCACAGCGCGACGGGTCCCGGCAATACGATGTGGAGCGCCTCAATCGGATTCACGACGATTGGCATCCGCACGGGAGCAGCACGGCGGAGCCAGCAGTACGACACCACCACAGTCGACCTCCAGCCCTTTGCAGCCGACGCCCCAATCCAACCTCGACCTATCGGCACCCAGCCTCCGCGTGCTCAGCACTCCGACCTTTTTAGCCTCCAACTTCCGACGCCGCACTTCCGCCTCGGCCTGTCACCTTCAGTCCCCGCCAGCGGAGCACTCCGACCTGCAGCCACCAGCATCCGACGCCACACTGCACCTCGACCTGCCGACCTCCAGCCCCCGCCAGCTCTGGTCTCTGACCCTCAGCCTCCACCGTCCGACGCCCCCCTTGCACCCATCGTCCTCCAGCCTCCTACAAGCCCAGCCCTCCGACCTCCAGCATCCAGCCGTAGACTCCCTGCTTCCATCTCCAGCTATCGTGTGCCCTCGCCTCCACCAGCTCAGCACTCCGGCCTTCAGCCTCCAGCAGCCGACGTCCCACTCCCGACACCTGCCGACTCCGACCTCCGACAGGGAGCGGCACGAAGGGTCAACAGAGTCCGCGCGGCGCTCTGAAGCACGACCGAGCACCCGCCTGGCGACGTCTTGGCCGGCAAGGCGGCCTGCGGCAGCCTACCGCTGCAGGCAGGGCGCCGACGCCCCCGCTTTTTTTTAATTGACTCGCTGACACAGGGCGAAAGAGCGCGGCCGCCGGCGCCCCAGCAAGGTGCCGATTTAGTCGGGCACCTTTGGCAGCTGCGCGATGCGGCGCGCAGCCAAGGAGGCGCCGACGCCCCCGCACACTGTCCAGGAGTCCGAGTACCACACTGCGTGCAAGATTCAGAGGCGCCTTGGTGCCGACAGAACGCTCCCAAGATCCACGCGCTGTGGCGCTGGTCTGTTGCGCGGCTCGCCCTTTTTGTCGACCCGAGTTGCGGCCGCGCTGGGCGGACATGGGCCACCCCTCTCTCGGCCATGTCGGCCGGATGCGCTCTCAGCACGACAACAACACACTGCCCAGTGATTTTGAGGACACCGCGTTCTGCAGTGCGACGGGCGCCTGCAGCACGATCGTGGGCAGCTTGCCGGTGCGCAGGTCCGCGAATCCGACACCCGGAGAGGTACACCACGAAAGCGGTCGCCGAACCACAAGACGGGCCGCCAGCAGCACGACGCCGCCCAGCGCCCATGCCGCCTCCCAGCTCCACGCCCTCGCCGACAGTCCGACATCCGCGCACGACTCCCTCCCTGTCCGACGAGCGTCGGGCACGCCGCAGGCAGGCACGAGGCCGCGGACGAGCGTCGCGACGAGCATCATCACATGCCGCAAGCGTCGGCTCCGATGGCATGTCCGCCTCCTGCTTCGACTCCGACGTCTTGCGCAGGCCCCGGTCCCGACCCTGGCTCCGACCCCAGCTCTTGGCATCGCTCGGACGTGTGCATTCTTCCTTCGGCGAGGACCATCGAGGAGCATCCATGATCATTTGGCGAAAAAACCACGCACGAAACCGAACAAAACACAGGGAATGGACGTCCGAGCGATGGCCAGGCTTCGACTCCGACTGCTTGCGCAGGCCCCGGTCCCGACCCCGGCTCCGACCCCAGCTCTTGCTTTTATCCTTCCGACGCCTGCTCTGGCTGCGTGTCCGCAGGGCGGCCCCGACTCCGGCGCCCCACCAGCCAGCACCAACACCGGAGCTGGCACGTCAATCGGCACGACGCTGCGTACAGTCGGGGCCCGGAAGAAGGAACCCTTTTCGTTGGGGAGGGGCCCCGCGTTCCTTAAGTGTTTCACAGCTTGCCTCAGGCTTTCCTTATGTCTTCGACAGGAAATCGAAGGTTAACTTATGGAAAAAAGGGGCCTCGTTCCTTATTTAGGGTTCCTCGGGTCAACGCCCCGACTGTAGCATGATGGGGAGGTGCCTCGCGGATCGGACAGTCGTCCAGGGCGATGCTCGTGTCGTGCATCCTGGCGTCGAGCAGCCGGGTGGGTCCCCGCAGCGGGGCGGCATGTTGACGTCGGGGCGCGGCACCGCCGATCCAGCACGTTTCGCGCACGGCATTGCGGCCCGAGGGGCGCCCAGGCCGTGAGCGCGCGTGCGTGCTTCAGCGTGCCTCGCTTCCCCCTCCTCCCTGTGCACGTGCAGTGCTTCGAATTCGCGACCGGGTTTCGCTTTTTGCATCAGGTAGGCCGGCCGGTTCGTCCGCGGCCGCTCGGCCCAGCGTGCCGAGCCCCCACTTGGTGTCGTTCCTGGCTCGCGCGGTCGCTGCGTCCTGGCCGCCAGGTCGGGCGATGGACGCCCCGACCCGTTTCAGAGGGTCCTGAGGAGTATTACTTTGCTTGCTTTATCTGCTCGTGCTCTGTTTCTCTCTCTCTCTCTCTCTCTCTCTCTCTCTCCTCGTCCCCGCTCTCCCCTCCCCTATCACGCTCCTGCGGAACGGTCCCTGCGGACGACTCCAGCGAAGTCTGGGTCGGCCAGTGCATGCACGGGCTGTCTACCCATATATTTTTGTTCCTCGGCCCCCGTCCTCTCCTTGCTCCTGCTGGCGCGAAAAATGCCACTGCAGTGGCACTAGCTGACGCGCATACTCGATGTGCGTTTGCAGCGTGGTCGGCAGGCGGCCAAGAGTGGCATCCAGACCTCCGTGATCCAAGAGCGGTCGTGTGCTCATCGCACTCCCCCCCAACCCTAGGCTTAAGTCGGGCCTGTCCCTCTACAGGGGAAATATTCGAAAATAGTCAGGGGACTTTTTTTTTGCCAGCATTTGTTGGCAAATTCGGAGTATTTTTGGTATTTTGTTTTATTCGTCGAAGATCCCCCTGTAGGGGAACACGCTCGAGTTAACCCTAGGCTTCCTAGATGGGGTCCGAGTAGATGGGGTCGGAGGATCTCGCCGCATCCCCGATGCATCGGCGATGCGGCTCGATGCGGAGTCCGATGTTCCCCCACGCCGACGTCGCCGATGCATCGCCGATGCATCGGCGATGCGGCGCGATCCGCCGACCCCCTCCACTCCGACCCCATCTCTGGGAGGCCCCTGCCAACGCCCGTGCAAGTGAGCACACCTCCGGGGACCTCGGGGCCTTCCGCAGCCTCCGCGCGCGCCTCCCACGGGCCCCCTCGGCCCTGCGTCGCCCCCTCTCGAGCTCCGCGTGGCCCCCCAGCGCGCCACGGGGCGCTCCGGCGCCTCCCAGAAACCCTCCTGGGGCGCCTTGTGCGCGCGAGAACGTGTGATCTCATGCATGGATGGACGGCTGCTTGTGAGGATGGGTCGAGGGGTGTAGACATGGTTGCAGTATTCACGTGCGCGCTGGGATGCATCCGCGAACGGGTAAGCCCGACGAGGCCCCCGGGAGCCACCCAGGCTGCCCCCGGAAGCCCCGGAGCCAGCCCCCAGAGGCCCCAATAGGCAGTCGGCCGCCTTCGACGCCACGTAACGCAGCCTTCGTTCGCCTTGAGGCGCGTGGAAAGGCAACCCTACCAGAGCAGTCATCTACCGACGCTGCGTAAACAACAACGCTCGCCCTTGGGCAGCACCAGCGCACGCGCGTGTGCAACCAAAACAGAAGTCTGTGCACGATGCGCGCGTCGGGACGCACCGGTCGCAATTCTCAAAGGCCCGTTGTTGGTATGAACAGGATCCCAAGATCTCGACGGCGCGCGACATGCGCTCTGGAAATCTTGAGCACATACAACCAAACACACACATCCCGCCACCGTGCCTGGGTTGTGGGTTAGAGGCATCTTGGGTGTTCGTTGGGATACCGTGGGAGGCCTCTCGGTGGTCTCTTGGAGGCAATTTTAAGGCCTCCTGCGGGACGTTTGGAGGCCTTTGGGGGGCCTCTTTTTGGGCCTCTTGTGGGCCTCGCGTGGCCCTTTGGGCGCCTTCTGGGACCTCTTGGAGGCCCCTCGGGGCCTCCTGGCGGGTCCTTGGGGCGAAGGGCTCGAATTGTCTTTTCGTGTTCCCCCTCTGGGAGCAGGTTTAGGGCTTTCTTGGGCCGTCTTGGTGCTTCGTGGTCCGTTTTGGGGCCCTCTTGGGCGGTCTGTGAGCCCTCTTAGG